GAATATGCCCGGTGCAAATCCCAGAGGGAACCCTCGAGGAGATCCACGCTAGGGGCTTCGATCTCTCGGAAGAGATAGAGCAGGCCAAGGCGGATGAACACGACGCCAAGTTCCTCATATCCAATGCCGAAGATAATGGGGAAGAGGCCGATGGAGCCGTAGTCCCCGAGGGGGAAGTAGACTAGGCTTTTCCTTTCTGATTTTGCGTACTATGATCTTAGAGAACATTGTAAATGAAGCCTTGTATTATTTCACATATACATATAAGAAGTAGCCTTTCGGTTTCCCTCTTTCATGAATTTCCCGTTGCTTGCGTATGTCTTTATTTTGTTTTGAATTTGACGCTTGTCAATGATTATGCAGACGAATTAGACTTCGAGGAAAAACCCTTAGGTTTAAAAATCGTCCCGTAGGCTCTTACGCATTGGGTCAATACGACCTCTAGTGTAGGCTGGCGCTTAGGCTCTCTAATGTGGGCTGGCGCTTGGGCTCTTACGCCTTGGGTCGGTACGACCTCTAATATGGGCTGACGCTTGGGCTCTTACGCCTTGGATCGGTACGACCTCTAATATAGGATGGCGCCTGTGATTTTATGGTGACGGTCGGGCGTCCCCGAGTCGCGTTTGTTTGGCCGGAGCCTTATGACCGTAGTCATTGTGTTTGGTCGTAGCCTTTTAGTCCCCGAGTGAGGTAGCCTCGGCGTCTATATCGAGGGTATGCCCTTTTAAGGGTCTTACAAGTTCGAATATATAGCCTTGACTTTAGGATCGAGATTATGCCTTTTGTAAGGTCTTATAAATTTGAACATGCCTTACTCGAGGTCTTACAGATAGGTTACTTGGCACAAGTATAATTCATGCCTTGCTTGAGGTCTTACAGATAGGTTGCTTGGTACAAGCATAATTCATGCCTTTCTTGAGGTCTTACAGATTTGGTATTACCTTATGGAGGTCTTTCGGGCTCGAGGTTGCCCGCTTGGGGTCTTATAGCCTCGAGTTTTTTGGTAGCTCGATGGGGTGACAGTCGGCGGCAGTCCCCGACACATCGAAAGTTTTTGGCTCTGGAGCCGTTTTTGTAAACTTGATGTTACCTCATTGAGGTCTTATGAGCTCGAAGTTTCCGACCCGGAGGTCTTGCGGCCTCGAGTTTTTGATGTCAGTTTTCGAGTGTTCGAGAAATTTCTGGCTATAGGGCCGTTTCTTGTAAAAATAGCAAACTTCTTTGAAGCGCAAGGAGTTTTGATGGTAGAAGATACTCCTTTGATTACTTGGTACAAGTATACATGTTTTCGTCCTCGAGGGTTCGATTATTCTATGCGGACACGGTTCATTTGACCGTTTGGCGCGATACATCATTTTTCTACGGAGACCCTCTTTGACTCATCTTGACTTCTCCGGGGAGGTGATCTCCCGGGGGAATGCCCCCCAGTATTCGAGGTTGATTGAACATAAACCTTGAATACTTGTTAAGTTCTCCTTAGGTAGCATATAGGTGTTTCGATTTTTCTGACCGGACACCTGCACACAGGTTAGTATAAGACGTAAATAAAAAGGGAGGCGGTTATACCTTAGTGGTGATGGCGTTTCGAGCCACGATATGCTTCAACAGCTCGCTCCGAGATGCGGTATGGTCCTTTGCTCATTCACTCGGGTGCAGCCGAGAATGTAGCTTGTGATTGCTCCTTCGATGTTGAAGGTGTCGACGCCGGTGCGACATCGTGCACCGCGAACATCTCTCTTGCTGCATGTTGCTCCCCGTATACCGTTTTTATTTCGTCCTTCATTGGAAACTTCATCATTTGATGAAGGGTTCATGGTACTGCTCTCATGCAGTGTATCCATGGCCTCCCGAGCAAGGCATTGTACCTCATGTCTCCTTCGATGACATGAAACTTGACATTTTGGGTTGTGCCGACCACGTTGATCGGGAGGGTGATCTCCCCTTTCGTCGTCTCGCTTGCCATGTTGAATCCGTTGAGGACTCGAGAGGCGGGCCGATCTGGTCGAGCAGTCCGAGCTGCTCCAGCACCCTCGACCTGATAATGTTGGCCGAGCTACCTGGATCCACAAGCACACGTTTAATTTGAAATGTATTCACAAGAAAAGAAATTGCCAATGCATCGTTATGTGGTCGAGACAGGGCCTCGATGTCCTCTTCGCTGAATGTCAAGGCGTCCTCGGGTATGCAACCTTGAGTCTGCTTTTCCCTGGTGATGGATATTTTTGTTCGTTTGACAATGGGTTCATGTGGGATGTCGATTCCTCCAAGGATCATGTGGATGACATGTTGTGGCTCTTCTGTTTCATTTTTCATGTTCGTCTCTCTTTCCCGAAATTGATTTTTGGCACGGTCGCTGAGGAAGTCTCGGAGGTGCCCTTTGTTGAATAGTCGGGCTACTTCTTCTCGAAGTAGTCTGCAATCTTCGGTCCTATGACCGTGTGAGCCGTGAGATTCGCACACACCAAGTTAGGGTTCTTTTGCGACGGATCTGATAGTACGGGTTTTGGCCACCTGGTGTCTTTGATTTACCTATGGCCGATATGATGTCCGAAACATTAATGTTGAAGTTGTACTCAGATAATCGAGGTGCCTCCGTCGGTCCTGCATGTCTGTCGAATCCGACTCTGCTCACGAGTCCCCGAGGATTCTGACCTCAATCTGCCCTTCGGTCATTTCGGGGTATATTACGCCTTGGGACGTTTCTTTAATCTTCAGTGTACGGTCGGTACCTTTCCTTGTTTGGCCTTGGTTCCTTTGCCATGAGCCTGCTAGGATATACTGAGCCCGAGGGGGCTCCTAGTTGGTCATCCTCGACCCTAATCTTTGATTGTGGACATCCGCCCAAGTCACGGCGGGATATTCAACCAAGTTCTGCTTTAGCTGCTTCGAAGCTATCGAGCTTCGTTCGTTCAAACCTTGGGTGAAGGCCTGCACTGCCCAGTCATCGGAGACTGGTGGTAGTTCCATTCGCTCCATTTGAAAGCGAGATACAAACTCCCGTAGCATCTCGTTCTCTCTGTTTGATTTTGAAGACATCGGATTTCCTTGTAGCAACCTTGATGGCACCTGCATGTGCCTTTATGAAAGAATCTGCCAGCATGGCAAATGAGTCTATCGAATTCAGGGATAGGTTGTGATACCACATCATGGCCCTTTTTGAAAGTGTTTCTCCGAATTTTTTCAACAGGACGGATTCAATCTCGTCGTCCTTCAGGTCATTTCCCTTTACAGCACAAGTGTAGGCAGTGATGTGCTCGTTGGGGTCCGAGGTTCCGTTGTACTTCGGGAGATCGGGCATTCTGAATTTCTTTGGGATAGGTTTTGGAGCAGCACTTGATGAGAATGGCCTTTGTACGAATTTCTTTGAGTCTACACCCTTTAGAATCGGGGGTGCGCCCGGAATCTGATCGACCCTTGAATTGTAGGTCTCCACCTTTTTGTCATTAGCTTCTATCTTCTTTTCGCCCGATTCAATCCTCTTTGTGAGGTCTTCGAGCATCTTTATAATAGCGGGGTCGGCTGATGACCCGTTGTTGCTCGATATTTTCGGTACCTGTTCGGCTCGAAGAGCCGTTTTCAGTGCTGCTGTGCTTGGAGTTTTTTGGTGGCTTTGCAGTTGAGCAATCGCTAGCTATTGTGCCTGCAACATCTCATAAATGACGTGAAGGCTAACCTCTCGTTCCTCCCAAGCTGGGGTTCTTTAAGCTTCTTGTTGGTTTTCTTGGCGTACACTCCTGTTAGTGTGGGAGCTTATATCGACGTGTTGGGCATTGCGTGAGCCCACATCTACGAGAAATTGTTCTGGTGCGTTCTCAGGGTTTCGCAGTGGTACACCGACGCCTGGAACAGCTACACCGTTCTCTCCATGATCCTCAGGACCGTTGTTTTCATGTGCATTCATTGAGATAGACATTTTGACCTGAAATCAAAGATTCTTGGACAAGAAAAAGTGTGAAGAATAACTTGCGTTTTTCAGTAAACCAGCACTAAAACAATCACTATTATTTTAAGCCCCACGGTGGGCGCCAAACTCTTTACCTTGAAAATGGTAATTACAATTAAATTTAATTTTGTGGTTCTAAAAATACGTGATTTATTTTAATGCTAGTTGTTAGGTGATAGATGTTAAGTGTGAGCTAGAAAAGTAAAGTAAGAGTGAGAGGCAGTGTCGTTATTCAAACCGAACATCGGTGTATCGGGGCCTCGAGCTGACCTAGGCTGAGCCTCGAGTCGAGCTAAAGTGTCCGACTGGGGACGGTCGATGAAGAACTAACAGTTCTGAGGGCGTTGATGGTGGCTCTTTATGATCCATGATGAGTAATAAATGAAGAACAATCAATAAAACACAATAAATGTAAGCAATAAAATCAAAGGAAAGACAATGGAGAATGTTTAAGTTAGGGAGCAGAGAATGTTCTTGTTTTCTGTTCTTGTATTCAATATCATGCGTGCAAGAAATAACAAGGGTTCCTTTATATAGGAGGGGGAATCCCAACATGGTACATGTATAATTATTACAAAGAGACGTAGCTGGTACAACTATTTAATGGCCTGGTATAGACTAGTACTATTCTTGCAGGTGTTGTCACCTTTGGCTACGTGCCTTGGGAATTTTCCACTTATCCATGATAGCCACCGATTTGCGATGCCCCGAGGTCGAGCATAGGGAACCCTCGGGGTCGAACCTCGAACTGTGCCTCGAGGTTCCTGGAGGTAGACTGTAGAATGTCATAACGATCATAAAGTCGGGCTCTCCGATTTTAGCCATATTCAATGACCACAACTTTAAATACTTTTTCTTTTTTCTTAAATTTGGTGCCGAGTCAAACTAACTCATCTAAATTGAAATACTAAACATGAAAAGTATCAATAAATTGCGACATGGGAATGTGTGATTTTTGTAATATTTTTTTTTTCATTTAGTAAACTACAGCGTTTGGTTTAGACTAATCGTCATAGTATAAATTTGAGCCACGTGCTATAAAATCCGTTTATTGCCACCGCACTTCGTTAGCATATACCTATTTGTGCTTTCCGTAAGATTTCCATTACCTCTTTGACAATTACGTGTCCGAATCATAAACCAAAAATAACTGAAAATAAATGAAACCATAAAAATCAAATTTCATGACCTATAATCTCTTACTCATCAGATTCTTTCGTTTTCTTCGAATTATTGGTTTCATTTCCTGTCGTTCAATTCCGTTCTGATGGAGGCTGGTACTGCAGTTATGCAGCAGGTACAAGTCAGTGAAGCAGTGCTGGAAAAACACGTTTACTCTGTGTGGGCTCTGCCGCGGGAGGATGTGAGAGTTAGGGTGAAGAAGTTGATGGAGGGTCTCCGATCGGAATTTGGTGGACCCCAGTTTGAACCTCACGTGACGGTCGTCGGATCAATTCGGTTGACGGAGGCTGAGGCACGTGACAGGTTCAAGAAAGCTTGTGAGACAGTGAAAAAGCCTTATAGTGCTACAGTGGAGAAAGTGGATAGTGGCACTTTCTATTATCAGTGTGTTTACCTTTTGCTTCACCCTACCACTGAGGTAACATTTTACAATCTCATTGATTCGCTTTAGGTATTCTGTTTGTTGTCATTTTGTACTAATGTTGGTAATCTCAAATATCTTGTTTTTATTTTCAAAAGGTGAATATAAGAAATGTTTTTGGCATAATGAGTTGGCTTGATGAACAATGTTATGTTCGTTCAGCTTATGTAGTTGTAATTTGTTCAATGGCTTGTTTATTTTGTTATTTATTTAATTAGTAAATATTTGATGTAGAAAATGGCTCATCCAGCAGTTGTTGAATACAGCTAATGGCTGATTTTGCAATCGGCAAAGTGGACTGTTTTAGTAAGATAAACTGCACGAAGATTAGTCTAGTGTGCTGAGCAATACTAATGTTCTTGATTGTCTCCTCATACCGTCATACATACGGTGTGCAAGATCATATGAGGAGACAATCGCCCGTATGTGTAACACTTGACGAGCTGAATATGTTCAGGTCCTATTCTTAATTTCACCTATGTCAAACAAAGCAATAGTTTCCTTTCACTTTCCCCCCTATCTTGCCTAATATTTTTCTTGTTTTTTCTTCCATTTGCTTATTTCCAAGGAAAGCATAAGTTTGTGTGTTCACACATGTTACCCAAGTATAAGGAGACTCAAACATGAAGGTCTATTGAAAATTTTCCTCTAGCAGGGTCTCCAGATGCCAAAGTTTTACATTTTCATTACTTTCCATAGGAACTGAAGGCAAGTCGACAAAAATATCCCTGTAGAATTTCTGTGTTGGGAGCAACGCATAGAAAGGCAGTTGAATATGCTTTGAGACTCGTCCCAATGTGAAAGGGGCTCAAAATTAACCGAGTCAGTCATGTTGAGCAGAAGCCTCACGGGGCAAATGTCTCTATAAGTGAGGCTGGGCAATAGCCCTCTGCATCTTAGCTCCATACCTAGAAATGCCTTATACACGCGTTACACCTTAGATTGTCGCTCTTTTACATCCCAATTAGTCTTCTTTTAAATTTTTTTTTAAATAGTTGGTTATAACTTATATAGCAGTGTAATATTTTTTCCAAATTCAAAACTTGGTAACTTAATACATTGTTATGTACATATGTCATTACGTCTAGATACTTAAATTAATTTTATACCTTTTTAGCTTTTAAAGTTTATACACTACTAAAATAACTCGTGGGGCTTATGCCCCATAACTTGGGTAATGTCCTGCTCTTTACACCTGTGCCTTCTAAAAAACTGATTTGGAGCGACAAAAGGAAAGAGGTGTGTGGGGGGTGGGGGGAGAGGGGTTCGGAAGCAGTCTTACCTTTGCTGTGCTTTTTTGTGTACAACTTTTGTTGTAATTACTGAGATCAGTGACCTGAAATTTGTTGTTCCAGGTTGTGGAGGCTAGTGCTCACTGCTGCAGTCACTTTGGTTACAACCGATCAGGAAGTAAGATAAACGTTCTCTGTGCAGATTTGTGCCTCATTCAGTTTCTAGAGTTGTAGTCACAAAAAGTTTTTGCTCGTTATCTTTTTCTGTTTCTTAAATTATTGCACTTCCTGAGTAATAAAAATGGCTCCCACTGCTTTCTATTTCCCTCATTTTGGTCATCAGTCTACTTCTGTGGCAAACTCCTTCAAGCTCTCCTTCCCACCTCATTCTTTTAGACTCCTTCTCGCCCTCACCATCATATCCCCTACTTCGTGGATGTTCACATTTCGCTCACACTATATATTATAGACATAATTGGTGACGCATATGGCTGAAATCTAGGAGATGGTTTGGAATCCCTTGCCTGCTATGAAGGGTAGAGTTGTAAAATCTCCGCTAATTTCTTTTGAGAAAATCCTCAATTTTTTTTCTTCTCTTGTTGGAAGGGGTTGGGGCCTTGGGGGTTGGGCGTGTAACAGAGAGAATATGTGAAATACTAAAACCAGAATTCAAAAGCACTGATGCTAGATATTGGAAGTAATGGATGATTAATTTGTATCAATAATTTGAAAACTTGATCACATCATCAAGTACAAATTTCAAATTGTCAACAGTTTGGTTGTTTAGCATGTGCTATCTTTATAGTCAACCAAATATAGTACATACAATTACCCAAACTTTGGCTGCTATTGGCTATGGAATCTCCTACTCTTCCTTGGCTTATATCTTACTTTTGTGATCACGCAGCATATATGCCGCATTTGAGCCTTCTCTATGGGGATTTAACTGATGAAGAGAAGAAGAAAGCTCAAGAAAAGGCTAAAATGCTTGACGAGGGCATTTGCAGCTTGAGCTTCCCGATATCTCATCTCGCATTGTGTAAAACAGACACTGAAGACAAAAGCTGCAAATCATGGGAGAAGGTGGAGGAGTATAGCTTCAGCCCTAACTAGCATGCCGAAGCAATAACATGTCCATGAGCAAAAAACTCATCCTGCTTACTTTTCCCTCACCTTGAATTGCAGTTGCAAGGTTGAACTTTGTAATACATGTACTACTTGCTACTCTTTATGTGCTATAAATAAGTACTTTGGACTTCCCTTTATCTCTATGCTTTCAGAGTTTTTTCCAGGGGTTCATTACTCAAAACAAAGTTTAAATTATCTTAAATTGCCAAACCTTCAGTCACTTGCTAATAAGCATGATAATCAGTTGGTACATTAATTTTAGTCATGACGCATGAGATTACTTCCTTTCATACACATTGACATTGGTGTACAAATTCCTAACAGGTTCATCTATGAATCTCGTTATGGAATAGAAAAAGAAGAAAGTGCTAATGCAAGGGCAAATTACTGAACTCCTGCTAACCCTTCATGAGTTGTGGCAAGGAACGTATTCTGGTGATTCGTTGGAAATTGACTCCAACTTCTGGCCAGGAGGCTATTTTCGCACACTTTTTTTTAAGTAGGATTAGAAGTTAAGCAGCGACACTCAAATATCCTACAACAACAACAAACTTAGTTTAATCGCACAAGTGAAGTCTAGGGAGGATAGTGTCTACACTGCCTTGTGGAAGTAGAAAAGTTATTTCTGGTAGATCCTTAGCTCAGTACAGTGAAATAGCTTGTTTGCAATAAATTTGTGCAGAAAAATAAGACTGCAATCACAACAACTATAAAGAAAAAAAGAATTTTTTGATAAACATTGCGGGTTACAACTCTGTTTATCCCTTGATTCTTTCCTTCGATTTGTTAACCGTAATTCGAGCGGCGTATTTCTCGAATGTAGAATGATATGTGTCGATACCGAATTTTTTCCTCATATTTTCAATATATATATATATATATATATATATATATATATATATATATATATATATATATACACACACACTTTCGTATGCATCATCATTTGATTTATGAACACACACAAGTATTTTTCATAATTTTTAAAAGCTTTAAATCAATTTATTTCTGCATTTTATTATATAAATATCCAATAATTACCCTCCAAATTATTTATATGATGATTTAATCATCTAAACTTATCATTTGTACCAATGTGAGGTCTTAAATATTTTCATTGCATTTCTTATAATCACATTTGTATTTTAGGGCTAAATTGCACATTTTACAATAATAGCCCATATGCATGTATAATTACATTATTTATGCAAAAAAATAACTTTTATATTTTTATAGTATTAAATAACTATTTTTTGATCATTTTCATGCATGAGTGATATTTTTGTTATTTATTTATTGCTTTTATAAATTATTTATTTGATTAAAATTGGGTATTTAAAATCTAGCCCTAAATTCCTCCTATTTTCGGACCTAAAGCTACCCAGACCCCAGCCCAATAATATTTGAGCCCAAACCAAATAACCCCTCAGCCCAACCAACTAATTAACCCGATCCAGAACCCCGACTAATCATGGCCGTTGATCTCTAAGATCAACGGCCCATATTATTCCTACCCTTTTAATTATACCCAGACCCCTAACCCTAATTCATTCCCTCTAAACTCGCCGCCTCTCTATTCTCTCCCCTCTGAAGAACCCTAACCCGCCGCCTCTCTCAATCTCTCCAATTCCGGCCCTAAAATGGAATCAATCGTTGATTCACTTGCCTTATTGATCTCTTCTCAGTACTGGTTATCCGTCTGTGTGTTACCCAGTTGCTTGCCTAACATGGCAAGCAAATCTCATCAAAATCCTTCAAATCCTTGATTTCTCTGATTACTCTATCTATGTTCATCATGTAGTCTTTGTAAGTACGAATATTTTCTATATCTGTTAATGATTCTTACCTACCCTAAATTAGGGTTTTCAGACCCCTTTTAATCGAACCAAAATGGGTTCGATTCTCTGGTTTTAAGTGATATTCCGTCTATGTTCGTCCTATTCTGTGTGGTTTGATTTTATTCTGCCGATTTAATACTTTCCCTAAAATTAGGGTTTGAGACTTTTCTCTTTTCCTTACTGATTCTGATTGCATGTAATGAATCTTTCCTTTCTCGTGGTTGATTGATGATTTTCCTTATTTGGATGTTAATCTCTACCACTATATAAATCCTTCCCCCATTCCCTTTAGGGAGAGACTTTCTGAACTCGATATAGCTTCACTAAATTTAAATCTTTATTCTGATTTGCATTCTATATTTTGATTTTGGCCGGTTGGAAGCCAAGGCCATTTAGTTCTGGGATCTTGCTACTCAGAATATTGTGGACTTTTATTATTTTGTGCATTTTCGCTTAACTGGTGAGTCACTTGACTTCTGAAATTTCATTCTTACCTGTCTATGATTTGCATGTGTTCTTACTTTTGAATCTATGGTTCGATACGCTTCTGAGTTATGTTAGGTATTGTTCCATCAACTTTACATGTTTTAGCCTCTTTAACACTTAACTGCTCCTAATGCTACCAGTTCTGAAGTTATCTATTCCTAGCCTGGCTAATCTGGACTTTCTTGAGGTTTATTCAGTTAGTGTGTTAAACTCTTGAATGCTCATGAACATGTTTACTCACTTGTCCTGAATCCCTGCAGTGGATGCTTCACATTTGTGTTAGCCTGTGTTAAGACCTTCATTGTGAGCCGTAATTTACCTCCCTGCTATTGTGTTATTCAACATGATCACTCGACCCTATACCCCCTTCCCCTTTCTAGTGTTTGCTTGTGATTTGGAAGAGTTGTCTCATCATGTTTGAATCAGTACGTTGAGATGTTAGGCTAAATCTTTGATACAAACTGGATCATCTTTGTTAATTAGACCACTATAACAATGCTTGAATGTGTATGCTTCCTACTTGACATGATTTTACCTTCTATTCTGAGTAATAGTTTGTATATGTGTCTTAACTTGTGACTGTAATCTCACCCCCTTTGCTAACATGATACTCTTTCTATGATTATTTGACTCATCATAATGCTGTCCTGTTTCCTTGGTAATAACACTAGGTTGTGTACTTTGCATAATTCAACCATGTTTTAACTTGTCTTGCACATGTGTATAACAACCTTAGTCAATCCTGCAAACATGTTCTTTTCTTAGCTTTTCTTTTTAGCATGTGACTGCTTCTGTGCTAAGTGTTGAACCTGTTTCTCAGTTTACATTGAGCTTGTTCTTTTTTTTAGTTCTGTGATTTAATCAACTTTCTGCCTGGTTTGCTCAAGTTGGTTGTGTCTGTTTAAACCCTTCAATTCTTGTTTTCTCAATTTTGGACCCTTCTTCCATCTGTCACCTAAGTTCTTTGAATCCCATTCTTAGCGGGCTGAAAGCTAAGGCTACTTAGGTTCTGTCCTTTGACCTCCCTAGTGTGAGCACTGGTCGAGGTTCATTTGAGACCCTTGTGAACTCTGACACACTAGGGCTTGGTTCCTAGTTTCTCCTCTGAATTGTCCTTGCTAACCTCCATAGTGTGAGCTGCCATGGGTTCTTGAAGCCCTTGGGAACTCTGACATACTAGGGCCTTGGTTCTGTATGTTCAACGCTATTTTGTGCCCAATGGGTGAATCCCTCAAGTCCTGACTACCTTATGTCCATGAACATGTAATTTTGGGGCTGTTGTGAACTATGAGAATGAAGGCCTGGCCTGGCCAGGTGTACCTTTGGGCCTGCAGTAGGCTCCCTATAGCCATTCTACTTTGTAATTTATTCTATTCATTCTGGGTCTATAATAATTCTTGTAATAACATTTTGGTGTATTAGTGAAATTGGGGAAAGGGCTTTTATCTTATACTTGCACTGAAATAGGTAGAAATCCTGCCTATAGGTTCATTACTTAGTTAAAATATGCTATTATGTTCAAACATATTCAGCTATCATGTGTTAGAAATCATGCCTATAGGTATTTTATCTTTGCTCAAAACATGTTACTTGCCCGTTATTGTAGAAATCTTGCCTATAGGTATATTGTTATTCTCAGAATGTTCAATTATTATATGTTAGCCATCCTGCCGATAGGTTATTCATTTGGTTCGAATGTGTTCTACTCCTGCTTGTTAGAAATCATGCCTATAGGATCTAAAATCAGTTTCAATTATAGAACTCATGCCTATATGGTTTGAATCAGTTCAATTAATTGTCCTACTCGTTTCTTTAAGAGTCTTCAACGCTGTACTAATTATCATCACTAGAAACCATGCCTATAGGACTCAGTTAACCAATTCTGAACATAATCATGTGACTACCACTATTAGTTACTACATAAAATACCTAGATATCATGCCTATAGGTTTAATCTCCTATACCTGTAATCAGTAGGCAACCATGTAGGTTTTAGAGATTGTAAACTGGCCGCTCATTAAATCCAAAATCACATAGAGATCCTGCCTATAGGTTTCTGCAACTTTAACTTGTTAAAATCTGCAACTGTCTTTGTTAATCAGGTTTTGCGTGCATTTGTTGTCTAAGTGCGGAGGCCAACTTGAGCCCTTATTTGCTTATAAGTGAAAGTTCAAATGTTATGTATGTCGCCTAGTATTTTTCATTTTTGAGCAGCCTAAGTTAAAGTCTAGAACCACCCTGAGATAGAGGTCCAAATGCCTCCGGGACCATAGGCATGGGACGGGTAGTGCACGCGTAGGGTACGACTTAGAATTGACTAGTGCGCTTTAGGTAAACAACCTAAAGATAGTAATCGGGTAGCTGGAGATGATAGTCTGTGCTCGTTGAATAATATGAGTAACACCCCACCTTGAGGGAGTTACGAAGTATTATTTATGTTGCACGGGGTGATCATTTAGGCTAAAAAACTTAGGACCCCCATCTTTGTTTTAAAATCAATAATTTTATTTATTTGTCCCTTCTCTTATACTAATTCATATAATTCATGTTCGACCGGGACCCACCGTTGTGGAACTCGAGGAGTGCCTAACACCTTCTCCTCAAGGTAATTTGAGCCCTTACCTGATCTTTTGTGACGCAACTAGTTAATCCAGAGTTATCTGCAAATAGGTGCCCTAACGCATCTTAATCTGTTAGGTGGCGACTCTCTCTTTTAAAACCCTTCTTAAAAGAGTTGTCAATGTCGAAACCCAATTTCGAGAGAAAAAGGGGCGCGACAGCATGGCGACTCTGCTGTGAATATTTTTAGGCTC